TTAATATTTTACGAGATATTGCTTTTTTTCTCATATGCAGCGCACATGTACTGTATGTATGCGCACATGTATGTTTGCTGATGTTATACTTAATGGAGAAGTATTTTCATTCTTACAGAACAGAAGCTGTGATAAAATTTTTTTTTACTACTGAGTTAGGGCTTCTAAGCTTAATTTTACTCATCCAATAAATCATTTCTTTTTGTAATCATTTATGCATTGTAGGATGTGTCTTTATAAAAATAAATGAAAATTGAAGAATATGTTATTATGAAATAATCACTTCGAAATAAAATCTTATCAGCTATATTTTAACCACGTGAAAATAAAATATGTAGTTTTTGACATTTAATAGAGGACATACGATAAAATGAATTTTACCATCATGTAGATAAAAGAAAATTACATAAAAATGCATGTTAGTGCTTACTCTTAAGTGGATTAGTGTATAAAAAGTTAATCTTAGTAACCAAGTATCTTTGGCAGCTGTAGTTGAACATTTGAGTAATAGAAAAATGGACACATTAAAATTCACTTGCTACAAATTTGTAATTTTCCAAATGACAAAATTTATCGAGGTTGCTCACCATTGAAATTTCAACCAAAAAATTTTGTAATAGGGCGCCATTTTTTAATTTTTCAATCGTACGTGGTGCTGATTTTTAAGCAAACGAAAGGTTAGGGTACTATTTTTTGAAGTTATATTTCTATAGGCACGTTAAATCTCGCGTCAATTTTCATTCCGTAATTGATTTCCTTTCGGAAAAAAAATACTTTCAACGGAATTTGAACTCGTGCCCTTGTTCATACGAGCCATTTATTAATCAATTTGTATTTAAATATTCGATTTACTACAAACGCTTACAAATTATCCATTTAAATTAATAATTTATTTCAAAATTTTAAACAATATTTTTTAATGGCAGTTTTTCTATATATTTGAAAATATTGGGTTTACAATAAGTTTTTGATGTTTTTAAGAGATGGACCTACCAACAAAATTACTTTGGAATTCTCAGATGTATAATCTTATATAGAAAGTTTCGACACCGAAAAACAATATTACCTTTAATGATTTTATAATATCTCAAGACTGTTGCTATGGTCCAAAAGCAAGGAAATTGGGTTCCGCATGAATCGAAACCCAGAAAAGTAGCGTGCCGTCTTTTCACGTGCAAACAACTTCTTTGTGAACACAGTTTAAAGATTTTTTGCATCGAATAGTGATAAGGAATGAAAGGTGCATCTACTGCGATAACTCAGATTGTAGCAAACCTTGGGTATTTTTATTGCGTCTTATTATTTCGAATTTTTTTGAATTTGTGGAAAAAGTGGCTGTTTAGGTTACGCTACATTGAGTGGCATGTAACATGCCTACTATTAACATGCCTAAATGAAATATAAATACACCATTTAAGATAAAGTAGTACAACAAGATATTTTTTTAAGCTTTCTCTTACATGTATATTGTGTTTTATTTATTGGAAGTGGGCAGTTTCGTACTGACCAGTCTGGCAACACGTCGTGCCAGGGTTATACCCTTTATCTTTTTTATCTACATAACACATTTTTTTATAATTGTTTGTTTATCAAATATCAGAGTATTTATGGAAACCAGACCCAATTATCGAGTACTTTCATTTCAACGATAATTGCACCACCTTCGATACATCTCATTCGGTTATTTAAAATATTATTTCGGAAAAGATAAATCTACATCCCTATATAGTCCGCTAGAGAAGTATAACTTTCTTTGTTACCCAAGCACTGGTAGTTCTTAAATAGAATTTAAAGCACTTGAATTATAACTTTTTAATATCTTATTTTTTTGCCTTTTTTGTTTTTACTCGTTTAAGCAATAAAAAAATAGTAGTGCTTGCGCTTATCAGTAACAAACACTATTAATCTTGCCGAGGTCTCAGTAGAATGCACTTATCACATTTCAGTGAACCACATTCCAATTCCCGAGGTAAGAAAAAATATTTTTCTTTTAAAAGTTCTCATTCCTCATGCACAATTATTACTTGAACAATTTTGCTATCTAACATTCTCTTTTTAAGCATAGTTTTTAAGATATTAAAGAGAAACTGGAGGAAAAAAAAAAAAAAGAAAATCAGTTACTGTCTATTAAAAAGCTACATTTTAGATTTTGCAGGATTCCAAGACTTTAATATATTGTACATCTTTCTTGTCATTTAAGGCTCATTTTTGTAACGATGCAGAATACGTTTTTAAGTTTTTGAGGCCGTAGTACACCTATCAATAAGTTCTGGTTTAGCTCTTGGTTCTAACTAACTCATAATTGATTATACTCCGCATAAAAAGGATTTCTATACGAGATATGATCACACCAGGTCACACGTACTCCTTTTTGTAATTTATTACAACTTTGGCTAATAGTATTGCTTTCAAAATATCGGTTAAAAGCATATTTTTTGTACGTTTTGAATGTATTTTTAATCTTTTTCTATGAATAAATAACTATACAATAAGTAATATCATATGGCATAGTATAGTTACTGTAAGTTTAATCCAATATCTTTGTTCATACTTGTTCTCTTTGTATCTTGTCATGTCCCAAGCAGTTTCGATAAATACATTATATGTACAGAAGCTAATAAGATGTTACTTTATGGTTGTTTAAAGTTAAGAAAACTTCTCATCTTACAGTATATTCTTAATACTTTGATAAATCGATGAATGTGTATAGTGCTTGTGTTAGGAAATACATTTCTTTTAATTTCTTTTACAATTCTTTCAAGCAAATTTTAATGAAACGTTTGTGAATTTTCGTTTAATATCAGATTATTGACGCTTTATACTTTGCTTTATTTGCAATTGAATCAATAGGTTAAAACTTAATGTATGCAGCATGTTTTTGTTTCATTTTTTACTATAAGATTGTATTAGATTATACATTTACCTATCGCAAGGGTTTCAAAAATTATATCATTATCTCTACCACCTTACCTTTTTTTTATTATTTCTCTTTTATTCCCCTCTCTTCTCTAGTAAATTAAAATCTTATACAAGCCCTTAGTGCAAAGTTTCCCTCAGATGACTAAGCCATTCATCCTACTCCCTCTCTCTATCTTACTTTACTTCTGATAAAGATACTTTTTTTTTTTTTTTTTTTTTTTTAATATTTAACTCTTCTTATATATTGTATAAATCCAGTGGTTAATTGCTACTGGACCATGCGCTGCGTTTGCAACGTTAAAGTTTTTTTTACGACCCTTAATAGCCTTTGCATCATTTTTTTCTTATTTCTAAGATATTTTTAACTGCTGGTTTACTATTTAGTTTTTTTATTCAGTAGCACTTAAATCATTACTGACAGATTTCTTTAATTTACTTTTTTTGAGCTTTACTTTTTCTCTCTCTGTCTCATATCTATTTTCAATGAATCTTTAAAATTTTTTATCAAACCGTTGTTTTGATGATTTAATAACGATTTTTGTTTAGTTTTACTTAGTTGTATCTCTTATGCATCTTTTTTTTCTGCTCTTATTCTAACTTTAATAAATTTACCCGCAATGATTTTTTCCGTTTTTTAACCACTTTACTACCTACATGCTACCTCTGCTGCTAACTTCGTTGTTACTGATACCGCTACCTTTCTTTTTACTCATAGTATCAGCATTACCGTAGCTGCCGTAGTTACTATTGCTGGCTACGTTATCTGTATCGTGTTATCAGCTCTGTACTGTTATCAGTTAGCCGTCCTAAGTAGGATTTCACTTCCAGCTCTATTGCTTTACTTCTTTGCTGTGGTAGCATTTAACCTAATTGTTATCACACTTTTGTTTGACCTTCAACTACTGCTTCTTCTTTCTCGAAAGTTGGCATTTGATATGTTTTTTGTATGGCTCTGCAAACTTTATTTGTGTTTTTTCTGTGTTTTCTGACACTTTGTAAATTTTTCTTTCATTATTCGCTAATGCTATTAACATCGCTTCTCACGGTATATCCTACCTCTTCAATGATATTGCTTCGTTTTTTCTCGTTCGACCATCTCCATTCTTTATTTATGTCTGCATTTTTCTCTTCCGACCTTAACACCACATCTTTATTTCCCTTTACTTCACATTTGATATCGTTGTCTTTCTTTTCCTTGGCTATCAGTTGCCTCTTATCTTCAGGCTAATGTATTTTTCTGTCCACCTCATTTCAACCTCCTTCAGAAACAATGCTCGTTTCGTTAACCTGTTTCCAGAAATTATGTTTATTCTCGTCACTCGAATCTGTTAGCGAGTTCAGCTTTCGTCTCATTGCTCAGACTGCCTCTCTTTATTTTTTAAATTTTTCTAGCTTTCTGCTTCCTTGTTTGTGCTTTTGCTTGTCTTCGCGATTTGTTTCCCTTTTCAAGTGACTTGATGGCTATTAGACACGGCCTTGGCTAACTTCACCAATTTTGACTACACAACCACATAGATGCTTTTTACTACAGAATTTTATAAATTTAAAATACAGAAAATAAAAAAAACTAAATACATAGGTTTCAGTTTTGTTCCTCAAATAATTCGTTCTTTAATACATTTCTGACGACTGTTACACATAAGAATACAGTTATATTACCATCATTGGTAAACATGAAATAATAAGATAACGGTGATAAGTAAGAAACCCTGTCGATTAATGACAAATCTGAGAAAATGAGTAAACTAAGCCTTTGGTTGAATGAAAAATTAAATCAAACAAATAAACAATAAATTCTAAATTTAGGCTAACTGAGATTATTCAAGATTTTATATATTATTGAAGATTTTTTGATTGCAAAATATCTTCTGTAGTAGTTACGTAAGAGTATTTTTGAATTCATACAAAATCCGAAAATCATTATCATCAAAAGCACAGGAATCTAAAGCATTATAGTTTTAATTTAGTGATATTAGACTACTGATGTATTCAATTTGATATAGAAAACTGTAAAAACCTCTCTAACATTTTCTATGGTGTATTGCATAGTTTTCAACATGAAGACAATTTTTTTTTTACAGAAAGATTTCTACTTCCTCTTACGTGCTACGAGAGTAAGGTAAAAAGTTTTGGCCTATCTTAAATATAACACAGAAATACGACTAAATAATTTTTTTTGATCCTGTCACACCTATTAAAGAGAAACTAAAAAATACCAAATGTCAAAAGGCTTTGACAAATAATTTAAGTAAAATATAACACCGTACGAGAAGGCTTGTGAAAGTTAAGAGCTACATTTATTGAATGCTGGTCGCAAACAAATAATGAATCGATTGGTTACTTACTACAGTAATACTACTTATATCGTATTGATAAATAAGATAACAAGCTGCTTAATATATGCAAAAACTGTGTTTTTCCATATAAGGCAAGACTGATATGAGGGAGTATATTACTGTTATGACCAAATTAAGTCGGAAGTTGGTACTTTTCGGTGCAGGTTTGATAAATAAATTTATACATACTAAGTGATGAAGAAAAGGAAGCCTTCAAAAACTGATTATCGCCATTAGCTTTGCTTCTAGCGTCACTCGTATGTAGTCTGAACGAGCTATTATATAATTGGCATTAATTTTATCTTATGGTCAAATATGTCAGACATAAAAAAAAATATATATTTTTTAAGGATTTATGAGTCTTACATTAACTTTGTAATTTAAAATGTACAACAAGTTAGTTAGATACGGAAAAACGATAATTTTGCGATTTTTCGGCATTTTTAGTTAGTGCGCCGATTTGATATAACAACTAAGTATGTTAAGTACAAAAAATTTTTATTTCAACGAGATCTACAGCTCGTGCGTTTCATTTCTTATCTAAAATGCAAAAAAAAAGTTTAATTGGGGAAATTAACTTCTTATTCATTTTACAAACACATTTTGGCTCATAGAACTCTCTGTGGATTACATCCTAGGTCAAACTGTTTCTACAAAAATAGTTGCATTTTAATGAGATCTACAACTTTTACATTGAATTTTAGAATCCAAAATATAAAATGATCTAGATAGACAAGGAAAAAATATATTTTAGCGATTTTTCAGCACTTTTTGGCTTAGAGAACGTTTGCGTTATATTCTGGACGACAATATTAAGTACAAAAAAGTTGTATTTTAATGAAATCTACAGCTTTGTCTTTCACAGCACATCTCGAAAAAATCACGTAACAAAGTTGTAACCAAAAACTGGTTTTTTTTTTTTTTTTTTTTTTTTCACTGAAAGTACCACCTTAGAACTACTGCCATTTTTTTCAACCACAGAAAGTCTTGCAGATTTCAAATCTTTACGTTAAATACAAAAGACGGAGCTGTATGTAAAATTTTATCCTAATCCGATAAAAACTGCATGAGTTCGTCAAAAAACTTGATTACGCTACACAGTGGACCTTTTTCGAATTTTTTTCTTTCAAAATCTAATATCTCATGAACGAAATAAGATATTTACAAGATTCAAATGGAAATTGAAACTTTTGGGCATAGGAATAAAGGAAAAATATTAAGAAGTTATGAGATTTACATGTTACAGTGTACCGTCTATTTAAAGTTGGTGCTCTGATGGAAAAGTCCTAATATTATGATACTAATTAGCTTGTAAGAATAGCAGACGATACATACAAACATACAAAGCATATATTTTTTTGTATTTTTTGCTGCCCTATCTTAATTTCACCCTTACAGCGTTATATAAATCAAACATAACCTCAAAATTTTAATTTTACTTCAAAAAATTGATTTCTTAGTATTAAAACTTGTGTTTATTGTGTTCATACTAATAGTATAATAAAAAAAGTACTGTTCAAGACTTTCAATATAGTAATCTAGTGAATACATTAGAAATGACTTCAAATTTCGCTGTCTTGGAAAAATGAGACCTCGACAGAACCTCAAAATTCTAATTTTACTTCGAAATATCGATTTTTTAGTATTAAAACTTGTGTTCATCATTAGTATCATAGAAAAAAGTACTGTTCAAGACTCTTACTGTAGTAATCTAGTGCAAACATTAGAAATGACTTCAAATTACGCTGTCTTGAAAAAATAAGACATCGACATAACCTAAAAAAAAAAAATTAAAAAAAAAGAGAAAATCGACTTTTAGTTTTGATTCTTACCTATAGTGTCACTTCAATGTAACAAAATTGCTATTTACAAATACAATGCATAGAATACTGTACAATGATTGTTACAAACTTTAAATGAGGATGTTCAAGAAACGTAATACCCAAATGTAATCTTAAAAAGATAAGTTTAATTGAAAATAATTTGTTTTGTAGTTTTAAAACCATCACTAAGGAATACAATGTGTTGTTTTGTGCGGATTCTGTGAAATCCTTCGCAATCCAAATTTTCACAAACAATTTTGATCGTGACAATAAAAAAAACCCCATTTAATCATAAGAATACAACTGAAGTTAGAATAATCTATTGTACAGTATTGCTGCATATTTCTTCCTGTGTCATACAGGAATAATAAGGTTAAAGAATAATTAATAAAACAAAACGTAATAAGGGCTCCTAAAGAAGACATCTCAAAGATAAAGACAGTGTATATGAATCCAACAACAGACAGACCCACACGCAGCGTTGTACTGGAGGTCACACCGAACGTTCGCAAAATAGTTTACGCCAGAGGTAGAATCTTCATTGGACTGTCTTTGTGTAGATTTAGCGACCACATCACGGTCATGCAGTGCTATAACTATCTTAAATTTAGGCATATCGTTAAGGTCTGTAAAAAAACACAAAGTTGCGGAAAGTGATCGGAAATGCATGCCACGCGCGAATGCGCAAATCATCCCTCTCTGCGTTGCACGAACTGCAAAGCGGAAAAGATGAGTGGCAATATTAATCATTTAACATTTGATCATCAGTAACGTCCTGTTTTAAAAGCTAGATTATTAAATAAATCTGGACAAATTGACTATAGCGAATAGTACATACGGAGATACGCATAGCCTTCGTTTCGGCCACACTAACGCGCAATTTGTTTCCCACATATTGAGGATATGCGTCGCGTTGTTCTTCACAATGAACTACACGTAATGATGGAGAGCAAGACTTGGCTTGGAGAGGATTCGCTGGAGAGTAGATTTTTCGTACTGGGTTATACAATCTATAGAAATGAAAGGGGCAGGAGGGGCGTCGGAATAGAGCTTTATGTGCTCTCGTCACTTCTGTTTGTAGCGGTGTATAACCCTCTGAAAGCTGGCTATTGGTCGGAGGTGGACGATGCCCTGTTGCGCTGCGACTCGGGATGCGATGGGGTAATACTTTTGGGAGGCTTGAACATCGACTGGCCCACGTAGTCTACCCCGAGATATATCTTGCGCGATTCCTTGGCTATGTTTGGTTTTAGCGTCGCGCGTCGTACCGTTTGACCCGACACACCGCGGCGGTAACTCAGGAACGACCATTGATTATCTCTGTGTCAGCTGTCCGGAGAGACTGCTTGCCAGCCAACAAACGCCGGGCAGTTCCAACCACGACCTGCTCATAGCAACCTTGACTTTTGATGTGCCTAAAGCCAGCCAAAATACTATCCGGCGTCGCGATCGCAGGGGTTTTGACCTGAATAATCTGCATGCAGAGCTGCTGCGTTGCGACTGGGCAGCTGTTTACCGGACGCCGGACGTAAACGAAAAGGTACACTTGCTTGAATCTAACATTCTACAGGCCTATGACATCTGTGCGCTAGTTACAGAAATATGTATCAAGAAAAAGCGCGAGCTATGGCTAACCTGGGACATTAAAGCAATGATGGCTGAATGAAATAAGGCATATAGACGATGAAGGCATCGGGGCTGCGTGTCTGATGGGATGGAATATCGGACGTTAAGGAATAGGGTAAAGTGAGAGTTGACAGACGCTCGCTTCTGGTATTACCGGGAACGACTGCCTGACTGCAAGAGCGATCCACGTGCGCTATGGAGGGAGATCGGCAACTTGGGAGCACATAGGCGAGATGGGACAATGGACAGTCTTCTGGTGACCGTCAAGGAGCTCAATGAGTTTGATGCGGGAGACTCACGGCTCGTGGACATGCCAAATTTGGTGCCTGAGAGGTCGGACCTAGAGGACTGCTTTTACTTCGCGCATGTGGGAACGCGGGAGCTACTGCAGGGCGTTGCCCGGTCACGATCCAATGCGGTGAGCTCGGATGGAATATCAATCTCATTTATAAAAGAGAGCCTATCCGTAATTTTGCCTGCTATGCTTGACATATTTAACGCGTCACTGCAGTCCGGCATCTTTCCGGACGCGTGAAAGCGGACGTTGATACGACCAATGCCGAAGGTTAAACACACCTGGTCATATACATTCAGAGTGAGTTCAAAGACATGTCGAAGACTATACGGAAGGCCAACAAAGATTTGAGCCGTCTAAAAGTTTGGTCGATAGGTAGAAAGTTCTCGATACACACAGGTAAAGCGAAGGCGATGTGGTCGGTGAGTCGTGCTTATAAATCTTGTATGAGAGAGGAAAGAATGCCGGATCTGCTGGTCGATGACATTGCGATTACAACAACCTCTACCTTGAACCTCGTAGACATTACTTTTGATAGCACCCTGGATTTTAGGAAGGTCATAAGGACTTCGGGAAAGGTGTACGTGGCTCTAAACATGCTCAAAAGATGTAGTCCAGCGTTATCCTTTGATATGAAAGTGATGTTGGTCAAGTATCTTATCTTGCCATATTTTAGCTACTGCGCACTATTGTTTATAGGTTTATCCGTCGAACTTAAGACAAAAATGTGTAGATTGCTGAACGAGGCCATACGTTTCGCCACAGGCAAGAAAAGGTGGGAACATATTTCCCCTGAATACTTGAGGTGTAGCATTACGCCATATGAAACCATAGGAAGATACCTAACACTCAGACTCATTGCGAGAGTCCTTACGAGCACTGAACCAGACTACTTGTCTGACAAGCTGCGAATCAAGACTCAGAACCAAACCCTTTTACTGCCGTACAAATTTTATGAGCTTAGTATTAATCGTGTACGTTTGGACACAGCAGAGAGTTCTTTTTATATCGCGGAAGCGGTAATGTGGAACGCATTGAA